GCGCTGGTGTCCTCACCTCAGGCTGCTGCTTCCTGTCAACAGGACGTTGATCCTTCAGACTGCAGACGTGAACTTCAGTGAAGCCTCCTCTCTGGACTGTTTACTGCTGCTTTACTGATTCTCCTGTTGAGTTAAATCACAGATAATCTCATAACAACATCCAGAGAACGTTTATGTGACGTGTTCCCTGGATCAGAGGTCAGACCTGCTACCAGACAGCCTGTTAGGTTTTACTTCCTGATCGAGCAGCTCCCTGCTGACGTCTGCAGCTCTTCTGCTCTGTGACGGAGACTCTGGTCCAGTGACCCAACGTGACCCAACGTGACCCAATGTGACCCGGCTCAGTCCGCCTGGAGTTCCAGGAGGAGGTCATATGAACAAACCACAGCCTGTCCAGCTGTCGGTGGTTCTCTGACTCCACAGTGAGCTTCTCTGAACAGCTGCTCTGTGATTATCGGCTCCTGATCGATCTGATCGGTCTGATCGATCTGATTGGTCTGATCGATCTGATCGGTCTGATCGGTCTGATCGATCTGATTGGTCTGATCGGTCTGATCGATCTGATTGGTCTGATCGATCTCCTGCTGTGAAGGACTCAGTAAAGGACGGAGACGTTCCTCAGCCACGACCTGCAGGTTGGTTCTGCTGACCCGGTGACGCTTTGGTTCTGCATCACTTCCTGTTCAAAATGTCTTCATGTAGCGTAAACAGGACGTCTTCGTTAATATGTTTAATTAAAGTTAGACATCAAAGTCGCCATGACGACACTTTTCAGCTTCTGGCAGACTCGAGGTGACGTCAGCGGTTCTGGACCTGATGCACATGATGTGAACATTTAGGCGTGACATCAGCGGTTCTGGACCTGATGCACATGATGTGAACATTTAGGCGTGACTCAGGTCAGCCGGCTGAGTCTCCATGACGGGATGCTGAAGCTTCTGCTTTAGTGTCTGTGAGTGTCTCCTGGTCTGGTTCTGTCAGAACGTCTGAATCAAGTCCGTTTGCTTCCTGAAGCTGTTCTGACTGAACTCTTCACCACGTGTCCATCACATGTTCACCACGTGTTCACCACGTGTTCATCATGTGTTCA